AGCAAGACACAGTTCTCAAAGATGAAAATGAACAAAACAGACAAGATATGTGCACTCTTAGCGCTAAGAGAAGAACACAGACAGAAGGGTACTTTCACTTGATTATAAGTGATATAACATGATTAAAGACCCCGGGGATCGGAGGTGAGAAAGGAAGTTTTATTTTAGGTAAGTTGGTCAGGGACCACCTTTCCAGAAAGGACACATTTGAAGTGAGAACCAAATAACAAGATCACCTGGAGGGAAAACATTCCCACCTGAAGAAGGAATAGTGTGAGGAACCAAATTCATTTATAAAACAGATTTTACTGGAACATAAGCATGTTCTTTTGTTTTTTGTCTTATCTGTGACTATCTTCATATTGCAATGGCAGAGACACAGACTATATGGCCTGTAAAGTCTAAAATATTAACTATCTGATCCTTCATAGAAAAAAAACTTGTCAATCTCTGAGCTAATGCAAAGGCCCATACTGAGAACTAAAATGGGAAAATCTGATTGATTACACAAAGGATAAGAGAAATAGAATAAAAAAGTGATTGAATGTAGACTTGTGGCTTAAAAAATTGGATAAACATTTACTGTGACATGAAAGATAAATAGCTTTTGGGTGGTAAGAAATTAAGAGTTCTATAACATACATAAGATTTTATATTATTTAAAAATACGTCTTTCTGGGGCTGGGATTGTGGCTCAGCGGTAGATCGCTCGCCTAGCACAGGTGAGACCTGAGTTTGATTCTCAGCACCACATAAAAATAAAGGCATTGTGTTGTGTCCACCTACCAAAAAAAAAAAAAAAAATTCTCTCTCTCTAAAAAAAAAATTATTTGAAATCAAATAATCAATTTGGCAAATTATAAGACAAATCACTTGGTATCTTAAGTCACATTATTTATCAGTGTACTAGATATATATACTAGATGTATATCAGTACAATAAACATTCTAGCCTTTAATGAAAACTATTTACTTATATGTTATTCTAAGAATTTCTAGAGGGGAAAAACATTTTTTTTCTTTCTCCACCTGGTAGATCTTTAAAGATACCATAAAAGTGGATGGAGATGCTTTGAATTCCAACTGAACTAGAAGTGTTTAAACACCATAAATTATTTAAGCTGCTAAGAAGGATTGAGACATTACTATTTTTAAATGTGGTTCATTTACAATTCCACTATTTCTTCATAGCCATCCAATTCCTTCTAGCTCCTGCCACCACCTTAATCCAAAACACCAACTCTGCCTCAATGATCTTGTTGCTACATTGCTATTTATAACAATACCCTGCTATGGAGAACTTCCTAAATGGTCTATTTTCACTCATGTCATTTCTAATCCATTCTCCCATTGTGACTAAACAACCCTGCAAACTTGCTCCTATCACTACCTATTTCAATGCCTTCCTACTGTTTTTATGATAAAATCCTCCAATCTTGATTACAGCCTATAAGACCTTCAGCCTCTAGCTAATTCACCAATATCACCTACTTTCCATTTTCACTATGATCTAAGTACACTGACTTCTTTCAGTTCCTCATCCATCTATAACATCTCTTGCTGTTAAAACTTTCTCAAAGTACTTTCTATTTCTTCACTAGAGAACTAATTAAAGTGATTAGTCACAAAAATATATATTTGTGTCTTCATCTTGACTTTTAAGCTCCATTTGACAATATGTCATAGTGGCAGGGCTCAATCATGCTGATTAGATTTGAATCCAGCACACTGATTAAGAGAAGTTCAAACCTGGCCAAGAAAACCTTTATTTCTCCCCCCCCACACACACATATAAGGCATGATAAAATAATCCCTACCTCATAAGACTATTGTGAGGAATACATGAGATCATATATATGCATGTTCTTAATGAAGAACAAGACACATAGCATGGTATTTGTTAAAATTTTCTTGAATGAAGCCCATTATGACTAAGTAACAGCTCTATGGAATAAAAAATTACCTGCATAAAATAGCACCCCCCCAAGCAAACAAAATAAATGTATTTAAGTAAATATGGTCCCTTTTCTAAACAACAGTAACTAGCAAGATTTCCTTAAAAAGGATAGGACCAGAGAAATGACTAGGTCAAAATTGTGTAATTGGACTCCAATTTTATGAATTCTTAGTTCAGTAGTCTGTTCATTTATCAATATGGGTAGAGGAAGACCTAGACTCCCAGTTCTCAGTTTCATATGCAGTCCACTAAATCAGTATTTTAAAACTATAACCAATAGTGGTCATAAAATTAATTTGAAAATTTAAAAGATGAAATAAAATGGAGTACAGAGTATGGCAAAAGTAAGGTAAGTAACATTTTGAGAAATTTTGTTTCAATTGTACACAAGTATGCCTGGGTATGGGTATGTCTTCATAAAACAATATGAATTTTTAAGATTATATATAATGTGTCTGCCTACAGTCCACTTAAAATTGGCAGATATAATGACAATAATCCAACATGGCAAGTAAAGAGGAGCACAACGAAGGAGTTATTCGCTCATTACCTGACAAATTACTTTAACAATAAATGAGAAATATTACCTGATAGGAGATGTAGAAGTAGGACTTGAATTTCCAACATGATGCTGGGAATATGACAAACTGACATCCTGTGAGGCATGACTACTTCCTAAAATGAAATAATTTGAAAAATTATAAGTAGTAGAAAACTTAAATGTGAAATTTTGTCTCCACCACAAACCACCCCAAAGATGTAAACACAGTTTAAAAAGAGAAAAATATCAATTGTAGACCGGTTTACAATTTCATCAGAATAAAAATTACAAATGTATGTTATCAGATAAGCAAAACATCACATTCCAAATAAGGTACTATTTTATGTATAAATGTCCAGTCTGGGGCTGGGGTTGTGGCTCAGTGGTAGAGCGCTTGCCTCACATGTTGAGGCACTGGGTTCCATTCTCAGCACCATAAATAAATAAATAAATAAATGTCCATCAACAACTAGAAAAAAATTGTTTAAAAATTCTAAAAAACCCCATCAATATCCAATCTGGCCATAATTTTTCTAAACCTCCCTCCACCCCTGCCCCAAATTTAACACATAGGGAAGTTCCATCCACACAAGATCAAGATCAAAATTGGAAAATGTAAATTTCAAAGCAGCCAGGATCAGGAGATAATCCTTGCTTCACATAAGAGAATGGGTCCAAACCCAAAATCTAATAATAAACCTTATATGTTCTTTTCCCTAATCCAAATGGAATTTTAAACTCATTTTAAAATTTTGACTTTCAAAATCCATGTGCTAATGTTACCCATTGTCAAGGAAAAGTATTCTACTCATAAAGCTTACAAAAGCATTTTCACCCAGAACAGAGGTTCTTTAAATTTAAAATACACACACACACACACACACACACACAGCAGCAGCAAACAATCCTTCTTCCCCTAACATCATAGAACAGTTTACCTGATCTAAACTGAATTTTGATGGGCCTTCCAAAAAGTTTGATTCCATTAAGAAGATTCATAGCATAAGGAACAGATACTTCATGTTTGAAATTCACAAATGCAAACTGCTTTGGTTTACCATCCTTATCTTTTGGAATTTTCACCTTTATTACTGGCCCAGCCTATAAACAAAAAGTGTTTAGAATTTTAAAAGGCACTTCAGGAAAATATTCAAATTTTACAAATAAAAAGAGATTATGAAGTTTAAAAACAACTGAAATGTAATCAGGAACTTTAAGAAAAGGGATACATATGGATTTCCATTTTGGTTTGGAGTAAAAATTCTACTCAACTGAAAATTAGATTCACTTATTTGGAGAAGGGGAGTCCACAAGGACTCACTTTAGTTTTAAGGATGCCAACAAAGAAACACAATCACTAATTTTACATTTCAAAGCACTGTGGATGACTTTAACAAAGTGCCCATCAGTTCTCATTTTTCCCCTTCATGAAAACAAGCAAGAACAAGAGAAAGTTATTTTCTCAAATCAAAAATTCACTTTGTATCCATTTATCAAACATTACCAGTTACTGGGTGATAGGACTGAGAAATCTAACAGGATACTTAGAATTTTTCGCACATTTTAACACAGAAGCACTACAATGGTGCTTTTCTAGGGTTTTTGTTTTTGTACCGGGAATTGGATCAGGGCGATTAACCACTGAGCCACATTCCAGCCCTTTTTATTGAGATAGGGCCTCGCTCAATTGCTGAGGCTGGCCTCAACCTTGGTATGCTCCTGCCTCAGCCTCCCGAGTCAATGGGATTGCTAGCGCGCGCCATCAATGCCCGGCTTCTACGGAGATTTTGTGGGCTTTTAAAATGTTTTAATAATCTTGCAATTTACAAGCAACTTAAGTATAAACAGACACTGACACAGAAACTGAAATCTAACGTCCGAGGTAGGCGAACCAAACAGAAACCACCTTAAAGGGAAGAAAAGAGGAAAAAGGGAAAGTCATATTCAGCGAAGACACGTTCAGTCCCTTAGGTCCCGTAACTCCTTACCACGGAATGGGTGCCTGCAGATTCCTCCACTACCTGTCGTAGCCCCTCTGGCTTCAACTGCTTATGGTTCTTCCAATAGAGAGCCACCCTCACTTCCCGACGACGCCCTCGACTCGCATACAGCCCACCTGGGTGCCCTGACTGACGGCCGAGCTCCCGCGAGGAAAGTGGGGTTTCCGTTGGGCCAGGCTCTAGGCGAGCCAGAAAACCAAAGTCAAGGGGGCTGACCCCAGCCGCTCACCTGGTGGAAAAGCTCGAAAAGTAGTTCCTCTGTCACTTTAGTTTCAAGGTTGCCGACAAAGAGAGTGCGGTCCGCCTCCGCTGCCGCCGCCCCCATCTCAACGACGCCCCCTCCCCACCCAGGCCGAAGGGTCGGGTCGGACGCACCCACTGCGCACTCTCGGAAACCTTACGTCCTTGCGTCATGACGTAAACGTCCTTCACGTTAGCTCGCGACCGGCGTCGGCTTGCGCGGCGGGTGACTGCGCATGCTCGAGAGGAGAGGCCTCCTTAAATCGGCTGCTCTGGGCGTTGCGTCGTTGATTATGGCTTCCGGGAAAGTTAGAGTTCTCGTCCGAGAGGGGCCGGACTGATCTGCGGCTCTGCGAAAGGACTACCTTGACCGACCCACGTACCGTAAACACTGCAGGCAGTGTTTGAAAATGGCCCGGAACTATGTGTCCCTGGCAGCCGGCGATCAAGGGAACAGGGTGGCTTACCCCTCGTCCCACAGCGATCTCAGCGCGTTGGCGATGTTCTCTGGAGACTGTTCCCTAGCTGCCAGGGCTGGAGCGATTCGCCCTGCACCTCGCCGGACAGCTCGACCTAGCATTCGGACTCAGAGCGGTCGAATACCTCGCTGCGGCCTGAGCCCGACCCGCCTTACAAAGGGGAGGGAACCGGAGACCCGCAGCCGAAGCCGCCAAGCCAGATTCTCACCTTACCCAATCCCTGGGGTCAAACTCGATCTCCGAAGAAGTGTGCTGCAACAGCGTCTGGCATTTGGAAATGTTACAGCTTGAACTTCAGTTTAAAAGCAAATGCCTCCCCTCAATTAGCTTGCAAACAAGTCCTCTTTTAAAATCCTTTCTTGGTGTAACAGCATTTTTATTTTTAGAGAGACGCGCTTTTGTTTAATAGAAAATTGCGTATGTAGGGGTTTTGTTAATGTTACCACACGTTTTACTATGGTTAACTTAGGAAGAAGACAAAAAGGATTTTCTTCTTTGGTAATTACAAACCCGAGCAACAATCATTCACTTTTTGTTTACACAATTCGTGTTTGGGATCAGAATTCTCTGATTTCCACGACCTTACCCAGCTAGTTCCCCTACTTTGAGAATAGAATTCGAGCCTCCTTAACTGGCATATTCCCAGACTCTTTAACTTGTGTTGGTGAAAAATAATCGTTTTTATTAGACTGGCTTATCCTTTCATCTCTTCCCCAGCACTTAACATCTTCAATATTCTCTTTCTTGTTGTTGCTGTTGTTTGTTTTTGGTATCAGGATTGAATCTAGCGGGGGCTTAACCACCTAGCCACATCTCTTGCCCTTTTTATATTTTATTTTGAGACCCAGACCCTGACCCTAACCCTAAATTGCGGAGACGGGCACCTATCCTGCCTCAGTTTACTGGGCCGCTGGGATTATAGGCGCGCAACTCTGCATACTGAAAGACAAAATACAACACCTAAACCTTCAGTGTTACTAAGGTGATTTGCATTTCCTTTGCCAAAGACTCCAAATTAATTTTCCTATTTTTCATTTTGTTTGCTTTCAATCCAAGCTCCTTAATCTGAATCTGCTGTTGCAAAACAGACTGCTGGAACATCAGTCCTACGGATTCCTCTCATTTGTTATCTATTCATATTTCTTTGAAATTTCTTACCTTTACTCCTTCAAGCATACAAAAATATTTGGGAATCTTCTCTGTGATAAACACTGTGGATGAGCTTTATGCAATCCTGACATTTGGATCAAGGGGTACATTCTTAATGGAGAGGCTAATAAATCAACGCGTAATCATTACATTGGACTGTTCATTAGGTTCACTAATAAAAATAAGTATTGGTTGCAATGGCTTCCCATGCTATTGCACTATTCTTGGTCTGGCTGATTGTTCCTTTGCTGATATCTTGTTCTCATAACCATGTATTCCCCAAGGTTTAAAGAATGTTATTGGGAGAATGTGTGTTAGTTGTTATTTGGATTTTATATTTTGTTCTGTTTTGGTACTGAGGGTTGAACCTATGAGAGCTTTACCACTGAGCTATATCCCCAGCCCTTTATATTTTTTATTTTGAGATGGTGTTGCTAAATTGCTGAGGCTGGCTTTGAGCTTGCCATCCTCCTGAGTCACTTGAATTACAGGTGTTCACCACCATACCTGGTGAGAAAGTGAGTTTTTAAATGCCATTTTTAATGCAATTAAAAATTTTTCTCAGTATATTCTTGTTTGTGTAGACTTCCTTCAAATAATTATGTTCAAATGAAATTGTCACACTACACAGTAATTTGTTAGAATTGCATCTTAAGATATAACTGGAGAACTTCCATAAGAATAATTAATATAATTAATAAAGGGAGAAATCTAGAAACCAGGTCATAGGAAGGGTGATTGATTACCTTTTGTTGAGTGTAACATGCAAGGCAATATGCCAGGAGCTATTAGTCTTTCTTTTTTTAAGATTTTGAGGATTTACTCTGTGCTTAACTACTGTCTGCATTAGGCACTTAGAATCAAGAAGTGAACAAGATAGATAAAGTCTCTGCTGTTATGTATGTTATTTGATTCGTGGGGCGACCTATGAAAAGGATATTATACTTGTAATTTTTGTTGCTGAGAGACAGCCCAAAAGAAATGAAGTGAATTTTTCTGAGATCATATAGCTAGTAAATGATAGTCTTTGAGCATTCAACTAAAATTCCTTATCTGAAAAATGCAAGGAAATAATCCAAATGACCATTTTCTCAGTTTTTCCAAAGATAACATATAGCACTATTCCAGATAATCTAAAAAGAACTTACTTTACAGCGCATAGTGGTTGCCTTAGGCTGAGCATTATGAAAGTTACAGTTGAGAGAAGAATCCCAATTATGTACTATATGCTGGGGAAGAATAATAAAGTTGCAAGTAAGGAGGACTTTCCTAAAACTTAGAATGTCTAATAATGGAAAATACCATCTCAAAAGGTAAGAAATTAACTGCCAGAAAGTTCAAATGGAGGCTAAATCTTGTCAGGATTTTATCAAAGCTTTCCTCATAGTGAAAACCAGGACTAGGTGACTTCTTTCGTCCCCATTTAATCTATAATTTTATACTTTTAAAAAACTGTTAAAATTGGAAATGGGGAACTGAGATATAAGAGAGGGCTGGGGATATGGCTCAGTTGGTAGAGATTTAAGAGAAAAATTATATATGATACATAAATTGGTTCTGTCAGCAAATCATGACACTTGAGAGTGAGACAGAGTGCTATTAATTAGAGGCAACAGGTAGATCAGTTGGCTCATATAATCATTGCCTAGGACATCATTTGGCATTAAATTGTCTTTGGAATATATTCCTTAAATCAAAGAAGGGGCTAATGCTTGTAAATAAAAGAACAAAATCTGGCTTAAGAGTACCCCAAAGAGCACAAGAGCAAAGGGGGACCAACAGGGAGTGACTTCATTTCTGTTTGTTCTGGCTTGTGGTCATCAGCAATAGGGCTTTGGCTGAGGAAATGTGGATGTGCCAGAAAAGGATAAAACGATGTGGTTTGTTGTATTTTGTTTACTTGGCAAGAGGAGAACCTTGTTCACATAAATGCTCCATTATTTTAAGTCTGAATCAATGGCTGTCTAAATTCTTGTTCTTAACATCTGTAGTAGCATCCAAGTTGCAGTATGTTCTTCTAGTCACAAAGGCTTTATTGTGGAAGCAGGAACCACTATAAGCCTCTTTCAGTGAAATTGCCCAAAGCAAAAACAAAGTTTTATAAGAGCAGACCATATTAAAAAATATATCCACATATTAGTGAACAAAATGAATTTTCATTTAATATCAGTGATATATGTTATGACATATTGTCATTCTAAAATAAATGAATTAAAAAATTAAAAAGCCATTGTAACTGCCTGTTTTGTTGTTGTTGTTGTTGTTCTTTTTTTTCCCCCTACTTATTGCATCATTCTAAGCAACTACCTAGCATTTGTTGAAGTGGATTCCTATTAGGATATTTAGTTTGTATATTCATTAGCACTAAAACTCTTAAAAAGAATGTCTGTTTTAAATATAGAAAAAAAAAGGACACAAATGAGATTTTCCTTCAGTAGCCAAATTTAGTGGTAAGTAAAACTTTAAGAGGGATGAGTTGGAAGAAAGGAGGGAGGAAAATCCTGCAAGAAGGAAGAGTAAGTGCTAATCAGGTACTCAACTGTTTCCAGCAAAACTGTCTTTCATTCCTTCAGTGAATTTGTCCAGATCCCACAAAGAGATCTGAACAAAGATACAACTCTTGATATTCCCAATTTCTATGAAAAGTTTCCCCATTTTCCTACCCTACAAAATGTTTAAGTTCTAATACCTATGAAGCCTTATTGCCTATGTCCTGTCCTTGTTGCCCATGTCAATTTAGTTGCAAAATTCTGCTCAGTTCATCTTCAAGATGTATTTATGCTATGATCCTATAATTATTTTCATCACCTGAAATATATTTACCTGGACACATAGCTTAAAAAACTATGCTGTTTCTCCCCTCTCTTTATCCTGAATGTAAATAGCTCCTGGATGAATGACTTAAAGTACATCCCTGATCACATAGTTACTACTACAGTGTCTCCCAAAGTCTGTTATAGAAAATATCCACTAGAAATGCAAGGTATTTCTTTGAAAAAGACACAGGACAATAAATTTAACAAGTGACATAAATGTAAAATTTTTACATAACCAACTTTCTTCCTAAAGAGGGACTTTTCTTTCTTTTGTTTTCTTTTTTTCATTTTAGTTGTTGATAGATCTTTATTTTACTTATTTGTATGTGGTGCTGAGAATCGAACCCAGTGCCTCACACATGCCAGGAAAGTGTGCTACTGTTGAGCCACAGCCCCCTGAGGAGGGTCTTTTCTACAGAAGCATAATTAGAAATACTGCCACTAAATGAGATCCAATTTTTCAGATATTAGAAATATATTTTTATACAGTGTGGCAGATTTTGTTAAGCTCACAGAACACAATTAGCCAAATTGGTTGGTTGACTCACCCATGGTTTGAAAAGGTTCAAACCATCTTCTTTTGCTTAATATGACCTGACCTGTCCCCATCCATGATTGGGAAGAGGAAGGCAAGCAAACTGCTGCAGATCCTCAGGAACTGAGCATCGACACCAACATTGTTACTAATGAAACCTCATTAGGAACTTCCCCTGGTATATGAGATTATTTCTCAAGTAAGCTAATAGAGTAATTTTTTTAAAAAGTAAGTTTACTAGACCCCTTATTTCACTGGAATATTTGAAAGCATTTCTACTTCCAAAGGCACTTCTATATCAGAGGAGAAAAATATGGCCTTCAGCTTCCCAGAAACCTGAGAGTCATTGAAGCAGTGTAACTCTACTAAATTGCACATTCCATAAACAGACATTTAAGACTTTGAGCTACAATGAATCCCACCATTATGTATGATGTATTAGTAAAAATATGAAAAATAAATACTTGCTAACACACTCATACATATTTAATATATGTATGAGTGTGTGTGTGTGTGTGTGTGTGTGTGTATTTCTTTTAAAAAGACTTTTCATAATCTGACCAAGTGTCTTTGCTGGACTTTGCCTGTGTCCATAATTCCTCCAGGCAGTTTCTGCTCTATTTACCTCTAGTCTCTGCCTATTCTAGTCCCCTTAACTAAATATCTTGTCCTTTTCATTTTTCGACCACTTAAATTTTTATTCATCTAGAGTAGTTAAGACTTTTATTATTATTATTATTATTATTACAAAGAACAGTGCCATTTTAATAAGACTAAGCAAGAAAATGTCCTATACTAACTTACAGGCCTGGGAAAGTGTGGCAAACATCTGATATTTTGTTACCTAGCAACTGTTCACCTTCCATCTACCAGCACCTTGGTTTTTCTTTTTCTTGGAGCTTTCCTCTCCTTCTCTGTTCAAGTATTTGGGTGGGGGAGGTTGGTGAAGCTTCATACCTAGCTCCCAAGATAGAGATATAATCTATGTTTTATCTCCCCTAATACAGTAAAGTTTTCTGAGGGCAGATATTATTTCTAAATTTATCTCTTTTTTTTTTTGGTACCAGGGATTGAACCCAGGGGCACTTAACCACTGACTGAGCCATATCCTCAGCTCCTTTATATTTTATTAGAGATAGGGTCTCAGTAAATTGCTTAGGACCTTGCTAAGTTGCTGAGGCTGTGTTTGAACTCACAATCCTCCTGCCTCGACCTCCCAAATTGCTGGGATTATATTTAAGCTGCATCTGGCTTAAATTTATCTTCATTTGTACTTATTAAGAGTCCAAAGAATAGATATTTATTGAGCGCTTGTTGAATGAATGAATAAACTTCTCAGACTGTTTATCCCTCCTTAGAATCAATATCAAAAAAAAATTGAAACATTCTAGGAAGGCAAGGGCAGGAATTATGTAGTCTCTTTGTTCTAAAAATTACCTAGTTTCCTGGGCAGATAAGCATAACATGGTAAGAAAAATAAATTTTGCTTAAATGTTTTTCAGCTTTCCTTATTACTAGAAGTTAGATCCTAATCCAAGGTGCAGACAAAAATTTATGCATATAATACTTAATTTTTAAAGACCATGGAAATGTATGTCCAAAATAGATGGTGGATAAAGAAAAAAAAAAGAATGCTTGCTATATATCGGGTTGCTACCAACCATTTCACAAGGATTGCTTCATCTAACCCTCAGAATTGTTCTATGACTGGGGTTAGCAAGCATTTTCTGCAAAGAACCAGGTGGTAAATATTTTAGATATGATCCAAGAGATAAAATCGAGGGTGTGCAGGTATTCA